TTTGTTTTTTTTTTTTTTGCCTTTTTAAGTATATTGAGTTATTAGAAGAAGATGTTTTAAAAATGGAAACCTATTCATTGAACTATGCAACCATCCCACAGTATCCTTGGAGGATTAGACCCAGGATCCCTGGCAGATACTCAGATCCAAGGATGTTCAAGTCCTTTATGGAAAAGGATACATTATTTGCATATAATCTACACAAACTCTCCAATAATCTTTAAACCTTCCCTACATTACTTATAATATTTAATGTAATGTAAATGCTATGTAAGTAGTTGTCATGCTGTGTTGGATGGAGAACAATGGTAAGAAAAACGTGTTTTATATAGCTGTGTTTTGTTGGTTTTTTTTTTAAGTTTTTGATCCTGACTTGGTTGAACCCATGGCTCCAGGACTCACAAATATGGCAGGCTGACTATAATTGATTTATTTCTTTAAAGTATTTAAGCTTCTGTCTGTGTACTTGATATTCCTGTTATTCACATGAAGAGTAATTAATCCACAGTGAATTGTGTTTTGTGAACTTGCCACTATGATAGCTCCCCCTCTGCTTCCTTCATCAAAGTTCTCACTCTCCTACGTGACGCCCACCGAAAATATGGTGCTCTGTACATTGGAGATTAACTGTCTATTTTTAAATGTGAAAGCACACCACTTAAATGTTTTCTTGATAGACAAGGAACAGGCATGTAGTTTTTTTTAATGGAAAAGATCTGTTCCATGACTGTATAAAATTCATTTTCACATGTTTTATTCTTTGATAACTGGCCATCTGTCACCTCATGAGTATCAAATGAGGCAACTGTCCTCTGTGGTAGAATTTAAATTTGCTTTCCTACTTTCCTAGTTAAGAGATACTGTGTAGCTTAATTCTTCTTTTCTCTCATTTGAAATGAAGCAGAATTGTCAAATTATTGAGGACGTTCTACTGTAATTATAATTTCTTTTTTGTATCGGGAATCGAACTCAGGATCTTGCACTTGCTAGGCAGGCTATAATTATAATCTTAAACTGAACCAGATTTTAGAGAAACAATAAAGTATCTTTGAACTAACAGCTTCATAATCATATAGCTTTCACTTTGACTTTTAAATGGCATAGTATATTATCTTCAACTAAAGGTTTAATCCTTTTCCCATGTAGCATTTTAAGATCTGATTATTTATCTTTTGATTATGTGCCTTTCATTTTCCACATAGGTAAATTTAAGTTCTAAGTGAAAATCAGATAAATTTAGAAGCAGGGTGACATTCTTCTTAGTACGTTCTTTGCTTTGTGTTTTTAAAACTGACCCCATGCTCTTGAAAGATTAAGAAAAGTTATATATATGAAATTAGTTTCCTTAGAACAGGAAAGGAGGATAAAAGGGAGCTGACCAGGTACATTCTACCATTCCTGGCTGTGTCTGGTCCACACAGCTCCACAGGGTGCTGTCTGACTCCCATGGTGTATCAGGAGAGCAGATAGGCAAGTGGTGCTCAGGAATTGGAGGAGTCGATGAAGGTCACCAGTGAAAGTCATCCCTCCACTTCAAGAGCTGAATCAGGGCAATCCTCCTCCAGTCTTACTGTGGAATAAGTTTAAGGGATCTCCAGCGACGTGGCAGGCTGCAGTAAAGACGCAGCAGATGTGCTGCCCCCTGCTCTGCAGAGGGCTCTAAGTGTTATTCGCTGAAAGAAAACATCCGTGAGCCCCAGCTGTGGCATCAGTGTCACCAATTAGGGATTAAGCATTGTGTGACAGAAACTTTAAGAAATTCAGTTAAGTTTTTGCTTTTCTTTCCTCCTACTTTATTCATTGTCAACTTTTAAGTGAGAGGCTTAGAAGAGTTTTCTTCTTTGTATGAAAGAAGCTATCTATGAAGCCTTCTATTTCTTTTTCTTTCTTTTTTTTTTTTTTTTTTTTTTTTTTTTTTTTTTTTTTTTTTTTTAGTACCAGGGATTGAATGATGTCTTTTATTTCGACTAGAATAATATTAACAAAGCAAATTATATTCCATAGCTGGGAATAGCTTGATCAGTATAAAGGCAATGGCAGTACAATCTGATTCACTGGATGTACTGGTTAAAATAATTTGTACATTGGTACGGGTAACATTTATTAAGTATATGTCAAGCATAAAAATAATGCAGGAAATCCTTAGTGATCTAGAAGTCTGAGTGGATGTATAATTCAAAATAACAGTGTCATCTTAATATTTTAGGTATAGCCCTAAACATCAGAATATATTTAAGTACTATTTTGGAGAAAATATTTCTCAAATGAAATGTATGTCTGTAACATGTTTTCCTTAATATACTATCCTAGATATTATGCACTTTTTTATTACTTTATTTGGTAAACAAATCCATGCACACCTCAGGGATATTGGAGGTTGGGCATCAGATTACAATAAAGTGGAGATCACAATAATACACATGTGGGAATTTTTTGGTTTCCCAATGCACATAAAAGTTATTTTATACTATACTGTAGTCTCTTGTTTGTACAATGGTATTATCTGAAAAAAAAAAAAACCAATGTACATACCTTAATTTTAAAATATTTTGTTGCTGAGAATGTCTGATGGCTTTCCACACCTGCAGCGAGCCTTCATCGGCGCACCAGAGCAGGCCTGCCCGGTGTTGGCGGTTGCAGACTGATCTGCATCGGGGGTGGTGGCTTCAGGGAAGGTGCTCCATTGACTGGCTTGTCCTTTCCTGAAGGGTTTCTCTCTAGCACGTGATGCTGCTTAATGGCATTTTATCCATGGTAGATTTCAGACTCGGAATCCATTTTTCCCATTCTTGTTAATGTTCCTGTTTTGTCCTCTTCCCCAAGTGAACCCCA